GTCTTCTAGTAACTAATGTGAAAAAATGCTTGAGATACATAGACGGATATATTAGATTAGATTGAGATATATAGATGGATATATAAGAAGCATTCTTTTATAAGTCTTAATCCTGTAGTCTGATTCTTGTGTTTTATTACTGGGTAGTTGAATGTAAATGAATCCTTTGTGGGTTTGTCTATTCATGATGCTTGCCTAAAATTGAAATGTTATAATCCTAAAATCCATAAATGATATCCAAAAGCTGTTACCTGCAAATGTTAATTATGACTGACAGTTAAGGAGCGAAACATCAGGTAGATATGAATTCTTAGGAATCAAATGTCTTTAGTAGGACCTAAATTAGACCTGCATATATGTTGTAGTTTTTATAAACAAGAAAAGCGTCTTGCAATACACAGTAGTACACTACTTCCTCCAGCAGAACTTGATGTTGGGATATCTGGCTGGTGTAGGCAGATTTTTGGGGAAGATGCATCACAAGTCAGAGGCAAAATCTTCACTGACTCTTTAAGTATCATGTTTTCACCTATGTGCTTTCTTGGGGAAAGTAGAGACTTCTCTGTATTTTCTTTTTCAAGTATCAACTGATTTCCTTCACCTTTAGAGCCTACTATTTCCACCAAAACAAGTGATGAATTGTTGTTTCTGATGTTCTTATTTTTTTTACTGCTTTCTGTCTTCTTTTCTAGACCGTGCACCTTCTAACTGTTTTTTAGTACTTGATATGCTGAGAACGTGTGAAAAAGAGCTGAGGAAAAAAGCTTTGAGTTGATCACTGTTAGAATAAAAAGCCCAAGAGAGAATGTAGTGCATGTCCAAGGACAGCCCTGTGTTGAGAATGAATATGCTAAAAATACTAGACACATTTTACTTAATAACAAGATAAAACTTAGAGGAGTGTTTTATGGAAGACAGGATGTGTTAGCTCTTCAGCTTCAGAGTTAAAATGTTGGTTATTCAGCTGGTCTTTTCAGAACAAACATTCTGCTACAAAATACTGTACATAATGGCAATTTTAGGTTCTGAATTTAGGACTGGATTAGTATTAAAAAATGTATCTCTCTATATATGTATTCCAGTGGCTTTCACTTTACTTTCCTTTTGATGAAACCTGATGTGACAGAGAAACTGCTAGATGCTGGCAAGTAATCTCTGGGTTTCAAACCAGCCAGACAATAAACAACTCTCTAATATTCAGTGCAGCAGCTTCTCTAGAGCCCATCTGTTTCAAAATAACCCTAATTCTGCTTACAGCGCAGAATGCTTTGTTGGCTGGAGTTTGTCCTAATTTCCATGGCGGCCTGTGTGGCTCCGGTGCCATCTGCTGGGTAGGTGAGCAGTGTCATCGACCCAGCGGAAATGTTGACCCAGCTGCCTATCGCTTCTAGCAGAAGTCATCTTCCCCCTCTGACAAGCAATGGAAGAGTCTCACATCTCAGTATTTAATCCCCTTCTTGCTCATGTAAGGAGAATTATGCAGATAATTAAAAGTGTATGTTTAATACTGCAACTTAATTGTGCCTTCTCCCCTTTTGTTTCCTATCTTAAAAGGGATGAGAGATAGTGGCCCAGTTGCAGCTGTCATCTTAGGCATCATTTACAAAGCCCACAGATCTACTTGAGTTACAAATTACATTATTTACGTTATTAAATTGTTCCCCAAAGCGCTCTCTGAATTGCTTAAAGCAGTTTGACATGCAAAGCTCTCTAGCTTCTTTGCTTTTCGGTACAAGATGATTTACTGTTTTCTGATAGATCTTCCCAAATGACATTTCAAATGTTGGAACTATTTGAAGAAGATGGGGTTTAAGCCTAAATGGAATCAACTCATGCTTATTTGGTAGCATCTCTTCTGTTTCTGACATCATTTTTGTGACTAGAATGAGTTGCTTGTGAGTCAGGCGCTTCTGGGGGTGGACTGCGCTGTTGATTTGATGCAGCGTTGTGAGATCTGAAAGCCTGCAGTGGAAACACTTGCTATTTGATAACCGCCTTTAGTTCTGTGTCCCTGCAATATGGATGAAAACAGGAAGAATCTTAGTAAGTTACATTTTTTGTTGTTGTGATTATGCCATGTTTTTAACAAATGTCTATTGCAATAGGTATAGAAACAGAAGTCAAAAATGTTTTCGTCATGTTAGAAGTTTTTCATCTATTTTCTTTTGACACAATAAATTTGATTTAATTGAAGAATTAACAAGAAGAATTTATTGCTCTTCTGACTATCCTACAAAAGTACTTACTATGAACTGTTCATCATCTGTGGAACTATTTCATCACTGAAATGTAATTCATTACTTTCTTTATAAGTATCTCAAATATGAATGCAAATGGCCCATTGAAACATTTATGAAGTTTCATTCTGCTATCATAAAGTCTTTAAGGACATTTGGGGCATTATCAGCTGTTACGTGTTAATAGTGCCCAGAATCATATGAGAGCAGAACTGAAACGCACAGGTATTGCAAAGGTAAGCCTTTCGTTTGAAAGACTGTTACTGCTTGGATCCAGTAAAACACTCCTAACTTCTTGGGTGTGTTCTGGTAGCTGAGTTTGTAATGTGCCTTTTGTGGACTGGGCTTCTGTAGAATTTGTAATATATTTTTGTTATTCTAAAATAGAACTGTGCATAAAATTGTCACTCAGTCTGATCTTCGGAGACACTGAATGTGAGCAGAATCAGAAATGTTGGTAAAATTTGAAGAGTCTCACCGTCTCTCAGTATCTAATCTTCATATTAGTTGATATAAAATTGAAGAGAGGGTTTGTTTATAGTCTGTTAATTTTAAAAAATTAAAGCAGGACTTATGATATAAAATGAAAGCTTCCCATAGGAATCAGAACCACCAAATTGGGTGCAGTATTTTCAGTGCAAAGTCTAAAATATTCAATAATGTATGGCTAGTAGTCTCATACCAAGTTATATTTTCTCTTATTGCCTCATTAGGTTAAGTGGTTGCATTTCAAAATGACCCTGTTGAACATGCCAGTAACTTTTTCCCAAAAGTCAAAACTTACTGGAAAAGCAAGAAAGTATGACAACATCCTTAATTTTTTGAAGAATTCCCCTGTTTAATTATATCTTTTATGACTTGGAATTGTGTATCTTCCAGTCTTACTGCTGTATTTAAAATACTTTAATCTTAAAAGCCTTTAATCTTTAATTTTTGCTGAAATGTTGAAAAGATTGTGTCCTTTTCTTGCATAGGAAGTAGTTATGGACCAATTACTATTTCTGTATACCACAGCTTATAAATATTTTCCCTAGTTAAGTGTGTTATTTTACTAACATTTCTGTTGTATTTTTAAAAAGTTAGGGAATTATTTTGGGTAAGAGGATGATTTAAATAGGTACATAAATATATAAATACATATATTCAAACCCTCACATTCAGATAGCTCTTTGTTCTTCATATTTTTTGTATTTACAAAAATGTACAAATACATCTTTCCTTGGAGATCACTATAAAGCTTTTCAAAATACCTTGTAAGTCTTTTTTTTCTGGGTCAAGATATAAAGGAGTAATTTTTTTTTAACACCTCTTTCTACTTTGCTTACGTTTGATGAACTTACTAGGCATCTTACTATGACATGCTATTCTGCAATGGAAAAGTATGCATACAGGTAGGTTACAGGGTTTCGTGTAATTGTCACACAGTGACATAGCATTTTCAGAGGTCAAGGAACAACTTGCACACGTTTTCAGTTTTGTATCTAGCAAGTTGAGACAGGGACAAAGTGAAGATAAAATATTAAAATGCACATTAAATTCACTTTCTGCATGCTAATATGAATTTGAAAAATCCTCTTAAATAGTGCATCTCATTTGATAACTACTCTTGTTAACGTTGCCACCTACCGGTGTTTGAGCAGCTAGTTGTCTCTGGCAGCATTTTCCAAGAGTATAAGCTCTAGGCAAGTAAAGACAAAAAATTCTGTAAGCAAGTTCTAATATTTTCACTAAATCATACATATGTTAGTGAGTACTCTACAAATTAAAATCCTCTTGGAGCAGATATTTGCAAGCTGGACTTTCCTGACTGTGTAACATAAATAGGCTTTGTGTGTTCAATGCAATTTCTGATACAGGATACAGCTGTAATTAAAGGCCATCTTGAAAATGAACTTAATAGTACGATACTTGCTTTTGATTTTCCATATTCATATTGCTAATTTAAATGAGATCCTGAGATGAATGTTTAAGAAATGCAGAATATTACAAAGGCTGTTGTGTTATCTTTAAAGCTAATTTGTTTATCCTTAATACTGTACATAAGCTCAGAAGGCAGTCTCTCATTTTTGTCTCCCAGAGCCCCCAGGATATAGGAGGTTGAGGTTGTGTATAACCACAAGCTATTAATCTTTTCTTTGCTCTGTGCCTTAAAATGTGAATTCTGAACAATTGCTGGAATAGTTTGTTCTTTTTCTCCCTCGCAGTACCAGGACGGAGTACCCATGACAGAGAACCTTCAGCCTTGCTGCGTACTATTTCTGCTCAGATTAATTTATTTAGTTTCTCTCCAGCTGAACTGCCATGTGTAGTTTATTTCTTAATTGCTTGCTGCCAACTAAAAAAGGGAATTTTATGTACATGTAGTATGGGTCACCGCATGTTGGGCAGCAATACTAACAGCAAATACAAAAGCTTATTTTGCCAGGAGTAACTACTGAGGACATCTAAAAAGTTTTAACAGTTTGGAGTTGGCTATATGAAGTAGGAATCGTGAAAAATGTGAACTTCTAGCGAAATATGTGCTTTGATTTTTTTGCTTGTTTTGGTTTTTTCTTGGGGAGGGAGAGGTTAGGGTGTTTTTTGTTTGCTTTTTGTTTTTGTGAGAGCAGTTGCTGTAAATGGTGATTGTCCTAAACCATTGGAATTAGAAACATTCAACTCCCTGTTAGCTTCTGTGATAGCACATTTTGGATTACAGCCTACACATGAATTTTGCCCATATTGCAGAACAAAATAACAGTTGTTTTTCATTGTGTCTTGTAGACTTTGGAGCAGCACGTCAGAGTGTGCAGCGACCCTCTGGTTTTTGGCATCCACCTGAGCAGCATTCAGAAGAGGAAATGAGAAGGCAAAGGCTGCGTAGGTTTGAGAGACGATGAAATTGGCAGGTGTTGATGTGAATTGCAAAGTGCCATTGAGAATTGCCAAAATATTTGTAGGTTTATTAATTTGTAATCTTTCTTTCCAATGTTTATACTACTAGTTGCAAAATTGCAAAATATGCAGAGGTTTTAGAGAGGTCAGGCTCAACTGGAACTTGCATCAGATGCATGAGATGGGAGGAATCAAACTGTGATCTTTGGCAGTTCTCAGTCTTGATATACCTCAAACGTGGAAGAAGGTGGATAGGTGGACTACTGGTTTTACACTCGCTCACACACTCGCTCACTTGCGTGTGCATGCTGACGCGCGCTCTCTCGTGCTCTCTCTCTTTTGGGTAGCTGCAAGAATTCCTTGGCTTTGTGACTGCTTATATTGTCAGTCAACAGGTTTTCTTCATCTATCACAGGCAAAAAAAAAATTATGTTTTTCTTTATAGTTTTAAACTATGTAAATCTTACTTGCAAACTTTTCTCTGTTTATGCTTGATGACTGACTACTTTGAGATTGGCATGTAAAATGTCATATTAAAAAATTGCGTTGATAGCAGTCTATAGGCTTAAGGTTTCTAGCAGAGTCTTATAAGCGCTGTAAAAAGTTGTTACAGCTATTGTTATCCTAAGAAGTTATTTAATACAAACTTGAGTGTTGCAGTCTTCCTTAAACCCTGTCATTTTTGTCTAGGGGTTGTGTGTGATAAAGCTGAGTTGTGACTACTTATAATTTCCTAAAGTCAATCTTAATATTTATGTTTTAAATCCAAAAATGCTTTCCTTTATGGAGTTAAAGTAACTTGTTCTTAGGACTTCTGTGGAAAGGGAGATGGATATGCCATGCAAAGAATATATTTATTTAGTGATGTGTACTTTTTGAAAGCATCTATTTCCCTTTCTTAAAAGGCTATATATCCTGCAGGCTGTGGAAATCGTATCATGTATATGTTGTTCATGCAGCTTTAGAAATTTTCCTATTTCTCTGTATGTATTTCATTTGAGGTCCACTTGGAGCTGTAAGAGTTAGCAGACTTGTGGAGATCTTGCCTAAATATAGGGTGCCTTGAATTCTCTATTTTCTAGAAAGCATTTCTTTATGTACCCAACTCGAGAGTAGTTGATCAGGAGACCAGAGAGCACAGCTGTCCCTTTGGACTGGCCCTCCACTTGCTGCTTGTGAAGCAATGGCTGTCCTGCGCGTGGTCCTGCGCGTGGCACCAGTGCCAGCCAGGCCCTCTGCACCTGGTCTCCGCGGAGGATGCTCTCAGGCTGTCTTTCAGTTAAGCTCATAAGTACAAAACCACAGTTTGCAAACACATCTACCCATTTAGTAACATTAACTAACACTGAATGTTTTTTGTTCCAGTATCATTTTGAAAAGTTATTCTTTACTCAAACTTTTTTTGCAATGGGAGAAATTCTCCTGAAATTGAGGACACTCCTATAACTACTTTCAGTCCTGAAGAGGAGTGATTGCGCAAGAAGAATTTGATTATTGTCTTTTGGCACAGAACTGCTGGACTCTTCAGCACTGACTTGGTAGAATGAACAATTTAATGTTTTCTTTTCAGGGTCATGTGATCACTGGTCTGTGCTTTATAAAGTCTTGAAACCTTTACCTCTATACCAATTATATTTTGAATTTAAAATCATAGCGCTGTATTTTTCATACAGAAAAATCCTGCAAGTAAATTCTTGAGTATGTTGTTAAATAAAGTACATTTTCTGATTTTCATTAATGTGTGTAGGGAACCTTTTGTTTGCTGAAAAACGCCAGGGTTGTTCTCTCTTCTGTGCCATTATCACTTTCACTATCTATTCTTCTTACACTACTTGTTGATTGCAGGCCCGGAAGCAGCACGGTGTGGTTATGCCAGGTGTGTGACTTTCAAGGTCCTGAGAGTCAAAAGACAGGACTATAATGTGATTTTGGATGTACTTATTAAGGGAGTGTAAGAACACTGCTAGTATTACACACAATACTTTCTGCCAGATTCTAAGGCACTTAGTACATACACACTGGTAACGTTTGTTATCTTCTGTCTCTGTTGTTTTCTAATATATGCAGTAGTCCTAGAATAAAGCAGCAGCTACACCCTTATCTTCTGGTAGGTCAATTTATCTAATTTCTTACAACTTCTGAAATTATATATTGGGGAAAAAAAAAGGCTTTGAATGTTTTGCTCAATGCATAATAACGTGTAAATGAGGAAGGAATAGTGTTGGTTCCTCAAACTAATCTTAGCGCTCTGCTGGAAAGTTTCAATGTAACTTACCTGTCTTAAACTCCATTATCTTAATTATTTAAAGGCATTGGATTAGTCAGTAGTCAACTGAAAAAAGGATAATTAAGCGAAACTAAGAACATGATTGCAATTTTAAAACCACTTGCGTAGTTTTGTAAAGTAAAGTTAGAAATATCAACAATATCAATATCAAATGTGGAACTGCACAAAGTTGCTCATACTTATATTCGTAAAAAGGAAAGAGCTCCTTGTTAGGATATATCTTATATGAAGAGTCTATTTTGGTCTCCCTCTTTATTCTTATTTTGTCAAGCACTTGCCATTAAATATTTTAAAAAATTGTCAGTAATATAGTTGTTTAGCTGTTTTCACTTTTTCCGTATATGAAATTGAAATAAATATTTTTTTACACTTCAAACTGTCTGGTTTTCATTATAGTAATTAATAAAACATGTATTTTAAATTACAGTGCTAACCACAATAGTGTTAGAAATGAAGACTTGTAATACTATGGGGGCAGATAACTTATGCTGGGCCTAATTTTGCCCCTGTTGAATTTTGTGGAAGTTCTGTGATTGAGTTATTGGGAAGAGCTTCCAGTATTTATAGTATCTTGGAAAATTTATTAACAGAATGAGTCTTTAGTAGGCTTTTACCCTGTGCTTTCCGTACAGAATATGGATGCTTCCTTTAAATCCACCTCCCTCCCCCACCTGTTTGGGTTTCAGAGCCCTGATGATGGTAGATGTAAGTCACAGATGAATTTCTAACGTATGCTCTGTTCCACTTTATCTCTTCAGGGACAAAAATTCAGGGCGTTTTACGTAAATTGATATTCCACACTGAATATTCTCTGACCCTGTTTAGTGACTGAGTTACTCTACATAAAATAAGGATTCTTCAAGGAAAAGAAAGAAAAAAAAGTAGTAGTCTTGTATAGTTCTGTATAAAACATTTCACATCTGAAATGTGATTCCTTTTTCTCGGGAGCTGTGATATCTTGTGAACCTTAGCACTTCCTCTGAACGTTGTGATCAGGTACCGTGTAAGAAATTCCACATCCCTAATTAACCCTAATCAGCAAACTTGTTAACAAGCCCAATTCTTGAGGCTTGAGAGTTGAATGACCTAACATTTACTGCTAATATACGTGGGTTTCTTTCAGTCCAGAATTAAGATGTGATGAAAGAGCAATGTGTTTAATTCTTAAAATTCTTTCCCCTCTTCTATTTTCTCTTTAAGCACAGGCAAATTATATATTCATATGTATTTTTTTTTCCTGGGGATGCAGTCTCCTCAGGAGAAAAATGCCTTAAAAAATACAGAGAAAATGGTGATTATACATGTTCCATACTACAGCAGGAGAGATTGTGCTAGATGAGCGTATATGGAAATAATGTTCTCAGTACAGGCTATAAATGAGATCTGAATTTGACCTGCCATCCTTAAACCTCGACTGATATCTTGGTGCTAGGGAGAAGTGTTGGGAGGGAGAGCATGTTGATTCTCATGTACCAGCTTCCTCTCGAGAGAAGTCATTCTGCCTGAAACTTTGTTTTCCATGGCTCCTTTCAAACAAGATTTGCTCTTTGGTGAAAATCAGAAAAAGACATGTATTTATTTATTTTTTAGTTTGATTAGTGTCCCCTTGCTTATTTTTCACATGTACCAAGAGCTCCGGTGGTGTAAAGGGTGTAATAGGAGACAGTGAAGAGACTGGCCAGTTTAGAAAATGTTTGTATTTGGTTTTTATTATGTTTCCTTTGCAGCTGAAAGGGAGAACTTCAAGCTCTCATTAGGTATGGTTTCTCATACCATGTATGCAGGTAAGGAAAAAAGAGCCTGAATACTGGCTCATTAAAGTAGTGATACATATAAAAGTCCCTGGGATGACGATATATCTGTGGAAAAAAGAAGATTCATATTAAAGCAGATGTTGCTAGGAGATGGTTTTGTTTAGGTTGAATAAAGTCCCAGTTTTGGTAGCTTTTATGCTTAAAAAAAAAAAAAAAAAGAGGAAAGAGTATAGCTGTTAGAAGCAAAGTCTTCACATCGCAGTCTTTGTGGCAGATGGCTTAGTTTTATTTTATATAATTAAGGAGCTTGAATTGGAGATGATAGACCAAAGCCGCGTGTGCATGGTTAGTTCAGTCATCCTGATCAAATGAAAACAGAAAGAATTGCCTCTTCTCCTATGTATTAACTACACGATTGGAAATGCTTGCAGGACAAAAGCAACTTTTTCTGTGTATCTGAAGATAGTGCAGCAAATGCGAATGAAATTTAAATGAAGGACTTGAAAAATAGGGTAAGTACCACTGTTTGACTTCTCTGTTTTTGTGACGTGACAGGGAATGGGCATTTCTGATTGCATGACTGGTGAAGCGTAACAATTTTTTTTTTAAATACTCCAAATGGCAAAGCATGAATCACGCTTGAACCAAAAGCGGCTGGCGCACACACCAGTGCTTCTGTGCTGTGGCTCCTGAAAGGCGTGCGCGGAGGGGAGGAACAGAATGGCACTGTGGTGCCACTGTATGGCACTAACTGTTCCCTGCACTTAAACTGCCCGAGTTGTAGCAACAATGCCCAACGCACAGAGAAGGACAAAGCCTGCTGAAGTCGAGCTTTTTTTTTCCCCCCTTGATTTCACTGACTTTTAGAGGATGCTTTTGGTTAAAGTTGTGAGAAAAACCTGATATGAGGCTTTTTTTCACAGAACACATCATTTTCTTTAGAAAAACACTTTTTTTTTTCAAAGTACCGTGAAAATTTACTCATTTAAGAAGGTGAATAGTATTTCCATGACAGTCTAAGTACCTGCTGTGGGAGTTGCTATGGTAACTGTGCATTTATCATGACAGCAGAGTAAATTGGCACATGAAAGCAGAATACATCGTCAGTGAACAAATAATTGTTGCCCTGAGGCTGCACTAATGTATTCACCTTTGGTTATTGAAGCATTTTCTGCTTTATTCTACATTAAAATAAAATCCGATTGGTAATTTGTTATCTTGCTTGTTCTGAGATTGCAGAGGGTAAGCAAATATTGAGACTGTTTTCAACTTTTAGTTGTAGAACTGTGTCTAAAGGAAAGTTAATCTTTTGAGGGTCTAAATCTTGTAATGCTTACTCATATCCAGTTACTTTTTCAGCGGCTAAGAAGATTGCAGAAAGACAGTTTGCCATGCAAATTTGAATAGCTTGGATTTTTTTCCCCCATTTGTCTGCATGCTCAGAGCAAAGGAATTGGGTTGGTTTCCATTATCAAAAAACCAGATGTTTATAGAAATGAGCAGTCTGCTGCTACATGAGAGCAGTGATAAGTTCATCTGTTGTCCATTGACAGGAAGAAATCAGCCTGATTTGCAGCAAAGCAAATATAAGAAAGGGTTTTTAACCATGTAGATAGTGAACCATTAAAATGGGTTAAGGATGTTCTGGAATTTCCTCCATTAGTCTTTTAAGAGCAGGTTAGACAAATATCTGTTACAGGCTGTTGGCTGTTTAGTTGCTGTTGCCTTGGTGGAGAGTTTTAGGTTGGGTTCGGTTCTTCAGTGCATTTCTCCGTTCTTTACAGGGATCATTTAAAAGCTATCAGTGGATGGTACGCTTCTGTGAAGCCAGTGACTTTTGTAGTATTTTCCTTGCCCATGCAAGAAATTAAGGAACATCCCTTAAATCTGTACAATACTAACGAGTATGAAATGATCTCTTTGACTATTTTTCTTTTAATTGTATTTTAAAGTAAGTGTACATGTGCAGTTCTGCATCTGAGGATGCTTTTGTGTATTCTGTTGGCTAAAGAACAGGTGAATCATGTTATTAAGGAGCCAAATTCAACCACAGTGTAAGCAGTGTAATTCAATTGCTGTCAGTAAGAGTCCTTTCATTTGCATCAGTATGAAACGTAATTCAGCAACTTCCAAAAACAGTTTTGAAATAGTTGATGTACAAGGGTCCAACTTCCCCTTGTCGTACTGTGCAGCATTAAAAAACAAAAACAAAAAAGTGTTTGTCAGAGTGACCTTGATTCTGGAAAACTTCTCCTGTTCAAAACAGCATTTAAGTGTATGCTTATGTAAACATATATGCTTTCCTGTACTGGGGCCAGGGACATTACGGCCATGTGTATATTACAATATAGGAATCAACACAAAAGTTTAGCTGCTATTTTCAGCTGAGGCATTTTACTGTATTAAGAATATGTTATTTGTCTCTTTTTCTCTGCTATATGTGTCTACGAACCTGACATACACACGGAGTTGTCAGCATATAGAAATATATTTTTAAACTGGATTATATAATTGAAACCAGTCGGACAGAGGATAAATGATACTGATGCATTTCATTTTGAACATATTGTAAGGATAAAACATTTCTATAGGCAGAGTATGTACAAATTTCAGTTTCTGCACTTCATCTTTAGGAAGCACGCATTGTATATGCAGAGATATACTCAACTCTTTATGACCAAAAGTTATGCAATATTGGTACCACTTCTTGCATGTATTTCACTTTTTACATGCATTTTAAATGTTTAAGCACAATAAAATTAAAGCATTTGAAAGTACTTAAAATACTTAAAAAGTTTTTTAAAATACAGTATGCAAAAATTTCTAATGAACTAAAGCTGCAGCTGCCTCAGAGGAGCCATTTGTATTGTAGATTGCTTCAATTCCTATCAGAATTTAATTGTTTTCTACCTGTGAGAAATTTTAATCTCGTCTTTAATGAAAAGACACCTCTGTCTTCATCATGCAAAACTGCGTAGGTGGGACATACAGTGTCTGTGTAATACAAGGGTGATATTTGTCATCAGTGCATGGAAGACTAAATTCTGCAAAAGATCTTGCTTTTCTGTGTAGCAGAGCTTTGTTTTACCAAGCTGAACATGAGGTAGTTTTGGGGCGTACGTACTTCATTCCAAATCTTTTTATAAACTACTAAGAAGTACACAGCGGTTGTTCTCTGCCTTGCAGCCCTGACTGAGAGAGTTTACATTTATTAGTAAGGTTGTACCTTGCTATGTATCTCTTTCTTTAGAAATTAGTTAGCGTTTTCTGTCTGCAGTGTTTTGCATTTCTGTTTCACTAAACCTGTGGAAATCATTAGAAATGTAGAATTTCAAATACCATGATGCTCAAGCCTGACTTCTTCTGAGTAGTAGTCAAGCAGCGTGTGGTGGCTGAGAAGGTGAGGCTTGCTCCGCGGTGTTTTTAGATGCTAAAGGCTGTCTGTATTGAGGAATTGTGTTTAATATACTAATTCTAAAACGATAAGTGTAGAACTGTTTTGGACTTTACCCTTTTCTTATCAAATAGCACCTCTAGTTGAACTTCTAATAA